GGTCGCCCCAGGGACCCACTGGGGACCCCGGTCCTGCCCCTGGGACCCTCACGGGACCCCAGGTCCTGCTCGTGGGACCCCGGGTGTGACCGCAGGGACCCATATGGGACCCCAGCCCTGCCCCTAGGACTCCCATGGGACCCCAGCCCTGCCCCTGCGACCCTCACAGGTCCCCAGGTCCTGCTCGTGGGACCCTGGGTGTGACTGCAGGGACCCGCGCGGGACCCCAGTTCTGCCCCAGGGACCCCCTTAGGATCCTGGTCCTGCCCCTGGGACCCTCACGGGACCCCAGGTCCTGCTCATGGGACCCTGGGGGTGTGACCGCAGGGACCCACACGGGACCACAGTCCTGCCACCAGGACCCTCACGGGACCCCAGGTCCTGCTCGTTGGAACCTGGGTGTGACTGCAGGGACCCGCATGAGACCCCAGTTCTGCCACAGGGACCCCCTTAGGATCCTGGTCCCGCCCCCAGGACCCTTAGGGGACCCATGGGACCCTGGACCTGCCCGGAGGGACCCTCAGAGCATCCCCATCCTGCCCCAAAGGATCCTGAGGGAGCTTGGTCCTGTGTCTAGGACCCTCACGAGACCCTGGTCCTGGTCGTGGAGCCTCCTCAGGACCCCAGTCCTGCCCTAGGGACCCTTCTGGGACCCTGGGCCCTGCCCAGGGAGCCCCATAGGACCTGGTCCTGTCCCACGAGACCTTCACCAGTCCAGGGACCCTTAGCGGTCCCCAGTCCTGCCTCAAGGGACCCTCAGGGGACCCCACCTCTTCCTCCGTGATCCCCTCAGGACCCCGATCCTTCCCCTGGGACCCACTCAGGACCCCAGTCCTGCCCCGAGGGCCCACCTAGGATCTTGCTCCTGACCCATGTGGGACCCTGGACCTGCCCAGAGGGACCTTCATAGGGTCCTGATCCTGATCCTGGGTCCTGATCCTGCCCCACAGGTCCTTGGTCCTGTCCCCAAGACCCTCCTGAGACAATGGTCCTACCCCAGGGACTTTCATGGGACCCCAGTCCTGCCCCAGGGACCCTCACGGGACCCCAATTCTTCCCCATGGACCCTCTCAGGACCCCACTCCTGCTCTGGGGACCCTCTTGTGACCCCACCGGAGCCACTTGTCCCTGAAACACCTCAAGGTGACAAACGTCACCCAGTCACCCACAGGGCAGCACCCAGGGGGTCCCCATATGGCGATGGGCACCATGGTTCTCCCCCACCCTCCCATGTCCCCGCTCCCACCCCTGCGCCGCCCGGACCCTCTGCCCTACCTGAGCCCGCGGCAGGACTCCACGAGCGATGGGCACGTCCCTGGCGATGCCACCACGGGGTCCCCGAAAGGCCCCTT